CGCGCACCTTAGAGGGAACAGTGGACTGAGTTAATTTTCTTAACCATGCCTCCCCTCCTCATTGAGAGCCAGTTTAAAAATGAAGGTGGTGGTCTGTGATGGACTTGTCCACAATGTGTCTTCTGGACTTGTCAACAGCCTGAGGAGATCTGAAGAAACGAAGTGACCCCAGGTAGGGTTGGATTCTCCCACAGTACCCAGAGTATGACCGTTCAAGTAAGCTAATGGTCATTCTCCTGTGCACTGCTTGGAGAGTCCAAGCATAGGACATACCCAAGCTATGAAGTCTAGGGAGGAAAGAAGAATTGTCCAGGGTGTGCGGAGTCACTACAACCCATTATAACACTCTCCTTCGAAAGGAAGCCACGGCCGCGGCATAGGAGTCAATACGATAGTGTTTAATAAACAAAGTAGGAAACGACCAGGTGGCCGCCCTGCAAATTTCCTCCACTGGAACTTGCGTCGCCCATGCAGCCATGGTGTTGGCGCTCCTTGTGGAGTGAGCTGTGAGTCTAGGTGGTACTGCCCTGCCTTGGTGCTGGTAGGCCAGCTTAATGCACGCCCTCAACCACCGACCAATGTTGGACGGTGAGACTTTGCATCCCATGGATCGTGCCTGAAAGGAAACAAAAAGTGATTCAGAGTGATGAAAAGCCTCTGTCCTCTTGATGTATCTGTGAACCATCCTCTGAATGTCCAGTTTGTGCCAGGTTCATTCCTTGGGTTGCTGAGGGTGAGGGCAAAAGTTGGGGAGTATCACCTCTTGAGCTCTATGAAACATTGACTTAATTTTTGGCAGAAAAGCTGAATCGTGGTCAGCAAGAAAGATACAGAGGTCCTGTCAGATGGAGAGGACTGCCAACTCCGACACCCTCCTAGCCGATGTGATGGCTATGAGAAAAACTATTTTTAGGGTCAGATGTCGGAGGCCAATTGAATGTATGGGCTCGAATAGGGTCTTGGTCAGGGTCTGCAGAACAAGTGAAGGTCCCATGTAGGGAACCTCTGAACTGTGGGTGGGTGTAAATTGGAGGCACCCTTGAGGAAACTCTTCACTTGAGGGTGCTGTCCCAAAGACAGTGGCGAATGTCTAGTCAAAATGGTAGATAGAGCTGCAACTTGTTGGCGAAGGGTGTTTGGAGAAAACTCTTTATCCAACCCCTTCTGCAAGAAGACCAGCAGTTGCAGGATTGTCTCTGAGATGACCTCAAGCTCATGTGCCCGGAAACAGGTAGCAAAGGCAGCCCAGGTGGCATCATAAATCTGAGTCGTGGGTGGACGTCAAAATGCCTGGATTGTATGAATGATCTTGTCTGAAAGACTGTCCTTCCTCAGGAGGTCCCCCTCAAGTGCTGGATGGCCAAATGGAACCAGCTGGGGTCTGGATGTACTATGGTCTCCTGGCTGGGGGAGAGCAGCTCCTGAGGTATTCTCCATGGTCTGTGTCTATTCCTTCCGCTTGCGGAGTGACATCTTGAAAAGAACCTCGGGAGTTGGTTGGACTGATGAACACCAGTAGGCTGAATCTGACGGTCAACTGACGAAAGGTTGATTGGATCACTCTCGCCTACAATGCGCGGGTGGTGAGGTTGCACCTGCAATCTGGTGATAGAAACACTCAGCAACAGTCTATGAGTGCCCCGAGATGTAAGATGAGGGTCAACGGCATCAGCTGACTCTTTTCCTGGTTTACCGAGACCCATGATATTACAGGTTCAAGATGGTGATCCGGACATCCCTGACAGTTTGGTTGGTGGCTGCTGATTGAATCAATTTTCATCATCTAGATAGCAAAGTAGATGTATTGGGCGAGAACGCAGATGGGCCGCTACAACCACCAATATCTTTGTAAAAGTCCTCGGTGCTGACAACAGTCCGAATGGCAGAGCTCTGTACTGGTAGTGCCTGCCATCGTACTGGAACCTGGGGAATCTCCTGAGGGACCTGAGGATTGGGATATGCAAGTACGCCTCCTTCAGGTCAATAGAAGTCAACCTCTCCCCTCATCTGATGCAACCTAGGATCGTCTGCAAGGATTTCATCTTGAAAAGCTTGTAGGCCAGATGTTGAGTTAGATTTTTCAGGTCCAATATGACTCTCCACCCCCTGGAGCTTTTTGGGACAAGGAAAAGAATGGAGTAAAAACCCCTTTTTTCCTGCTCTACAGAGACTGGTTCTATGGTGTTTATCTGTAGGAGATGCTGAATTTCTGCTTGCATGCATTGTTTTTTGGGGAGGGAGGTGGGGACAGGACAGTGGGCAAAGGTCCTCGAGGGAAGGGAGAGGAACTCCAGGGTCAGTCCTGCCTCACTGTATTGAAGACCCAAGCGTCCATGGTGATCAACTCCATTGGGCGGTGTAAAGTTGGAGATGGCCACCTATGGGAGGATCCCATTGGTGGTCACTTGGATCGATGGTAAGGACAGTTGCTGCAACTGCCGCAAAAGGGATGCCGAAAGGGCTGTTGATGTTGGCCCTTATCCCTGAAGGTTGCTCTATCCTGACTACAGTCACTGGCCTGGGGATAGGATCTCTGGTAGGAGGGACTCACACCTGAGGAGTCAGCCCCCCAAAGAGGGCTGCTTCCAAAAAAAGGTGTTATTTTTCCTATCTGCCTTCCTAGAGGTAGATGGAAGGGTCTTCCATTTATCTTTGGTCTTGATCAAGACCTTGTCTAGGGTCACCCCAAATAATTGCCCGCCCTTGAAGGAGGTGGAAGCCAGCTTCCACTTCGACTTCATGTCCGCCTGCCAGTGCTGAAGCCATAGCAGACGGTGTGAAGTCACATTGGAGGCTAGGACCCGGGAATCAAACTTGGCAGCATTGAGAGAAGCTTCAGCTGAGTATTCAAGAGCCGCAATGATTTTGTTAAGGTCATGCTTCCATCTGGAACCTTCCGTGAGAGGATTCGATCTCAACTGCCTCAGCCAGAGCAACAAGGCCCAAGTAAAGAACGATGCTGAGATGGAAGTCCTGATGGACCAGGCGGCTGCCTGGTGAGTTTTGTGGCAGGCTTTCTCTGCCTTCTTGTCCTCAGCTTTGAGCTTTCAAGGAGATCAGCCGGCAGGACGGAATTGGAAGTGAGAGAGATAACCAGGGCATCCACCTGCAGGAGCTTCAATATGTCCTCTAAATTACTTTCAATGGAATAGAGATTGTTGACAGCCTCACTAGGGTTGGTTAGTGAACTGGGCTGTGCCTACTGGCTCTGAACCACATTCACGAACAACTCTGGCACCAGAACCAGGTCTGCGCTGGAACGTTCTCCTTGAATAGACCCTCTTTTGGATCCTGGAATCCAGAGGGGGCTGCCATCCCCTGGCTGGGATTGCCCAATTGGGTGGAAGCCTTTGCCTTGTGCAATATAAACTTGAAAAGCAAAGGCCTGAACAATTCTGTGAATGCAGGCTCATCAGGGGGAGGGTTTTCATCTTCAGAGAACTCCCGCTCCCCTATGATGTCCTCTTCTAAAATGGACTCCTCTGTGGTGATGGACGTCCCCAGAGGAGGTCCCTGTATCTGACCCCCCTGGTCTGACCTCTGGGTAGGCCTGGCAGAGGAGCTTTTGGATGCATGGCTGCAATATCCCTCTCAAGAACCTGTTCTATGACCCTCTGCATTTCAGTGGATAGATTGGGTCCCTGATCTTCAGAGGGTCTTGAGCTACCTGATCTGCTCCTGCTTGCATGCCCTGAGGGTCGCGGATTCTCCTCTACGATGGAGCAGGCAAAGGGGCATAATTCCTCATGGATGGAGGAAGAGTCAGGATAGCCCAGGGACACTGCAGAAGAACCCTGTGATCCCTCATCCACCAGTGAAGGAGAGATGTCCCTTGTGTAGAGGGCTGAGAGATGACCTCCTGCATCTGGGGTACTGGGCTTGGACCCTGAGATGGTTGCCCAGAAGAAAGAGAGAGCCTTTGGGCCCTCTCAAAGGTCTTTTCAAGGGATTTATGTCTGCAGGCCTCAGCCTTGGATAAGGCCTTGCCACCTCTCGGATTGGGAATCCCCTTCCCCTTGGGGCCCTTCATGCCCTCCTCCAACTAAGGGGGGTATGGCCTACTGCATTTTGATGAGGGGCCTTGCTGTTCTTCTGAAGCCCTCGCGTCCCCGTCGGCCATGGTGGTCTTCAGCTGGGGATGAAGCCAGCACTGAGCTCTGTATCTGCTCTGAAGAATTCTTTGTTTTCTGTAGGCCTGACACCGGTGTGCACTGTGAGCTATGATGCGCCCTGAAGATATGTCCTGAGGACAGGAGTATGACGTGGGAGGCCAAACTCTCCTAAGCCTCCCAATGTTAATCTTCTTGAGAAAGGAGGCCTTGCCAGAGTCCCAAATTAAGGCCACACATTCCCTCACAGCAATATGCTGGCTGGGAGGGAAGTGCGGCAAGCAGAGACAGCCAAGGAAGAAAAGCATGAGAAAACATCTTTTAAAATGGCCACCGTGCTTTTCGGATGATGAGGGAACTGTCGGCCGCAAACTGGAGCCTCCATCGAAGACTCCGGGTGAGCAGCTAGGTGGAAAATGACAGCTGGGGAAAAAAGGAAGCTTCCTACCTCCCCTGCACCTGCTAGCAGCTGCTGAATCGCAAGCTCCATCAACGGCGCAGAGCCAAAAAGCCCCAAAAATCCTCACCAGCAATTTTAAAGGTAAAGGAATTTCAGCTAACTGACAACTAAGGACAAAAATAAAAAATTCCTATGCTAACTTATGGAGAGTACCAGTCTATTCACATAAGCACTGAGGAGCTACCCAAACACGCATCCAAACTGGGCTGGACTGAGTTTTTAAACTGGCCCTCAATGAGGAGGGGAGGCGTGCTTAAGAAAATTAATTTAGTCCTTGGGCGAATAGACTGAATTTAACCCATGCTTGGACTCTCCAAGCAGCACACAAGAGAACAATTCTGACTTTGATGGGAGACGGAAGTGGAGAGGGAAAACAATAACTTGAGCATCAACATTTAAACAATAGATGTGCATTCTGTATTATATATTACCTTTCAACTCTGCCAACTCCCAAAGTTCATGAGCTATTTTTACAGACAACGCCAAAGGGTACTCAACAAGGACATGCTTGCCAGCCTCTAGAAATGTCCTTATAGAAAAGAAAGAATTTCATATTTTATACTTCTCTTAGGAAGATGAAAGCAGTGTATAAATATCCCTCAATTATTATCAGTAGCCTTGGAAAACTATCATATCTAAAGCACATTTTGGCCTTTCCCTAAATAAATATTTAAAACCACAACTATAGATACTATAAAGGATACACCAATATTCACTTTATATTAATTAAATACTATATATATGTAGATAATGAAAGCAGTTCCCAATAAGATGCATGCATATTTATTCTGCTTTTCTCACTTCCATAATTTTGAATGCTGGGATTTAAATATTCTGATATTTGATTTGCATCTGAATATAAAACTTAATTTGGTTCTAAAATGTAACTGATGGATGCCTAGTTATCCATTTAAATTATCATCACTTTGATAATGCAGAAAATGTTAGCTGATTCTATATTGTTTTCCAGTAGATAAAAAAATCTGTATGAATGAATGAAAATGAATGAAAATAAGATTTTAAAAAATGTATGCACATGCACATACATCTATACTCAAATAATAAAACAACCCTACCTAAGTATTTTTCATTTTAAATCTATTTTAAATCTTTAAATGGATAGTAATTGTCAACTATGTTAATAGACAGTAACTATTTGAAAGCTATAAAAGGCCCAGATTCTCTGGAAAGTCTTAAAAAATGTGCAAATAAATAACAATTTACTGTTCTTTAACAGTTGGCCTATGATATTATTTCTGTGATTTTTTAAAATTTTGATCTCTCCCTTGGCTATCTTGCTGTTTAGAATGGCAACTAATCAACAAACATTCTAATGGCAATTTGATATTAAGAATTCAAAAGTCAATACCTTACACTCTCACTGTGGTTTTGGTTATCTGTACTGATGATGGCAGCATGGACTTCTGGATTGTCTAGAGCTTCTTGCAGACTAATTTGCTTGACTTGATAAACTTCACCTAGAAATCTTCTAGTTTTATCAGAAAAAGAAAGCAAAAGAAAGGTTTCCCTGACAATTCCCAGATTATAAAACAGCAGCAGGAGAAGAAGTATTAACATCTTCATGATCAGATCTAGAAAGTCCTAATTGAAGTTGTCTTTCAAGTATGGTTTCAATGTGTTATTGACTTTGCATGTTAACTTTGCTCACTGATAATATGGTGAATTAATGCTTCTTTCTATGGCCTACTGATCTCAATTTCAAAATCCTTTTCTGACCCATACACTGTATGAGATTAAAATATTAATAAGGAATAAATTTTCTACAATATACAGTACTTCTCGGGTTATGGAATTATTTCTGGGAGGACTTTACAAGTAAACTTAAGAAAAAGACTCTCTTATTCTATATAGCAGTGATGGTTAACCTTTTTGGTGCCAAGTGCCCAGAATGGGTGTGCGCATGCGTGAATGCATGTGCATGTGCCCCAACTCTTGAAATGCAATGCGAGCACCCAAGTGAATTCATCCCTCCGCACCCGGTTTTGGCTTCAAAGTTGGTGCAGGAGACTTTCCACAGCCAAAATGGGGTGCAGGGAGCCCTCATGTGGTGCCCCCATGCCCCGTTTTGGCTTCAAGGTTGGTGCGGGCGGTAGAAATGAAGGAGAAAGGTAGGGCATGCTGTGGGGGAACCTGCAGAGATTCAGAAGGCCCCGCCCCCCCACGAATGCACAGCAGAGACTTGAAGACCAACTGGCTGGTGGGAGATGCAGAAGCATACATGGTGGAGCTGGGCTGGGGTGATGGCTGGTGTGCCTGAAGAGAGGGCAGGCACACATGCCTTAGGTTTGCCATCACGGCTATATAGTATTAAAATTGAAAGGCAGCTTGATTACTATAGCAAAACAGTGGCAACTTAAACAGTTGCATCAAGTTTGAAAAAAAGTTGCTCTGGATTTGAAATGGATTATTTCAACATTTTTGAAAATGTTTTGACCTTATAAAAGGGTATTACAACATTGAAAAAGTGTAGAACAGCTCAAACAGCCTATCTGAAAGCCAAAGAAATTTTTCCAAATTTAAAACAAGGTTATGAATTTTGATTTTGTTTGCATACTATTAATCTCCAATATTTGGAGTAAATTAGCTTAATAACTGAAAAATGCAATTGTCCTCATTCATTGAAAAATATATTACAAATATTTGTATGAAAAAACAAGATTTGTGACTTCTAGCAGAAATGTTCTCAATAGCGATTTATATATAGAAGACAGTGCAAGAGTTTAAAAATTCAGGCATTACTTTGCATTAAATGAATCATATTGCTTAACAACTTTGTGTTATGCCATGTAACTCACTGAATTCTGACATTATATTCTGATACTGAAATGTATGTTATCATTTCAAATAGGAAATGAGAATAAAGCCATAGTGTTTAAAAACCATGGGACTTAATTGTCAAGACAAGACATACATTTGTCTGACTACAATATATCTTGTTAAATTAAATAAAGAGGCCCCTCTCACCTAGAAACGAATCCCAATAATTTAAGATGCTCAACAGGACTGGAAGGCAAAGGATTTAGCAAATCTCTGATTCGTACAGATCCAGCAATTCCAATTCCAGTCACTACTGTCCCAAACATTGCCAATTCTAGATGAAAAAGGAGAAGAGAAAGAAACATTAAAAAATACTATGAAGAAGTAACTGGCTTTTGAGCAAGAGATACAATTCAGGCAAATGCAATCATTTGCTTTTAATGGTGAAAATGCAGAACTGTAATTACCACATTGTCTAGGCTTTTTCATCTTTTCAGAAGTTTGTTAGTACTTCTCTCCCTTTATTATTTTTGTCTATAAAAATTTTTTTTGTTTTTAATCTAGTACCCCTTTCCTGTCAATTTACATAGAGTGAAATGAATAAGAACAGTTTCTATTTATTTTCTGAATAGTCTTTATAAGCATGTATATAAAAGATTCTATGGAACTATTTTAATTTGCTCAGCTTGCCTAAATGGTACCCATCATCCTTCTAAAGATGCAAAATATTTTTATTCATTAAATTTATCATATGTGTGAGGAAAATTGGGCTAAATGGCCAGTAGCATGCACAGTAAGTAAAAAATATCAGTCCACAAATAATTGTCTATTCTTGGCCTCTCCAATATTCCATCCATTCCTCCACTCCGTCAGCGATTCACTGGAGAAGGTGAGGCAATAGTTTTTAAAAAATCAAGTGGTCCAAGAAGAAACATAAAACATGGATAGAAGTACATACCTGGGACAAATACGGTGGGATCTTCTTTTGAATTGATGTAAGCAGGTCACAAAATATGCCTTTCCTACATACAGAAGTTATGAGAGTTAGTAATGAAAGTAACATTATTCAGAGTTGAGCCCTGACTTTATCTACTTTTTCTGTGTCCTAGAGATAATCCTATATACTTTAATCTGCTTCAGATAAACACAACTGACTTATTATCACTAAGAAACAGTACATGGGTGTTCAACAGAAATTCAGTTCTTTAAAAAAAGAACACATTTCTAAGGAAAGTGTAATTTGATTAGCTGAAGTATATCTTTACTTTTTTTTAAAAAAATAGGTTCTTTTTCTTTTAAAATCATGAATTCTGTTCTCTATAATGCTATAATACTATTATTTTATTATACTGTAATAAAAATAGGCTGATTTCTGAAAACTTCATTTTTCGCAACTGAAATCCCATTCCCTTCTTCACTGAATTTTTTTTTTCATAATAAAAATTCAGAAATTTTGATTAATTGGGAAAAAACCCAATTTCCACTTGTTTATCAGTTTAAAACAATCATGGAGAGTTATGCTATTATTTTTTATAAAAATCATCTATACTATCACACACCAATAGCTTAAGACATTGTTTAAATCAACACACAGTTTACTGTCTTCTTTATCAATGGGTATTTTTCTATTAGTTTTTATAGTCACAGATATCTGTGACTAAGAGGACTAAGTCAATGTTCAAAAGGCAGCAGTTATGTACTTAGAAAGGTTTGATTCAAAACTAGTTTAAAGAGATGGGGGGGGGGGGCTTCCAATCAATTGTCACTCCTGGGATTGCCTGGACATGTCACTTTAATTTTCATTCTACCATGGATACTATCTGAAATCAATTATTGCTTTTCCTGATTAGCTATATTCCATAGGAGATTTTTCTTTTTTATATATGTATTATCACATCTATTCTGCTATCTTAAGCTATGTCACATTTTCCTGTTATTTATTAAACTTGTACGCTGCCCATCATTTAGATTCTGCCTATATACCAGTCAGATATTGATGTTACCTTGGACCTTATAAAGTCATAAAGTTTCTTTATAATGCAAACTGTTCTATATAAAACTTCTGTTAATACATGTAACAGAATAATAGAGATGGAAGGGACCTTGGAGGCATTCTAGTCCAATCACTTTCTCAAGCAAGAAGTTCTATACAATTGCAGACAAATGGTTATCAAGTCTTTTTTAAAAAACTGCCAGTGATGGAACACCCAGCATGTGCAGGATGGGAAATGGCTGCCAAGCTTTATTGCTTAGGCTTATGAAAAACAGAAACGGACAAAGCTCATGGGACTAAGATTCTGGACACTGTAAAAGGGGGTCCTTGTGAGAGATCAACTATCAGACAATCCAGGGAAGTGACTACCTGGAGGACGGGCGGCTCCTGGACGGTGTTGCCACCTTCAGCGGTTTCTGTGCTCCTGTGCTGGCTGGCGACAGAGGTGACGGTGGTGTTGCACGGATGGCGAGCACTCTTGGCCTCGCTGCCGGGGGAGACGATGGACTTGTGCTGGGCTGTGCCGGCGCGGCGGTTTGTGCCTCGCCCCAAGGAGGGTAGTGGTGAGTTTTTGCAACGATGTGCGCTGGGACTGGGCGGCTGGTTCTCTGTCGCCACCGCAGCTCTTCTAGGTCCCCCCTCCTTCTTGGTACTTCTTGGCGCAGCCTCCTTTCTGTCTTGCTGTCGCTGCTGCGGGGCTTTGTGCTGCCCGACACTCTACGTGTTTTACTGCAGTCAGTGCAGCCACTGTCATCTGCTGCTACCTCAGGGGGACCGCCATTGACAGCTCCACTTTTTGGACAATTCTACTTTTGGCGCCACCAGTTTGGATAGGCGGTGCACCTGGGGATTGGATGAACATCTCCCCCAGCGGCCGCCATTTTTGGCCCCGACCTTCCTCACCTTCTTCTCTTCTGGTTTACCTTCCAAATAATACCATCACTGTAACGGCAATAAAGACCTTCTGGCGTGTTGGCAGCTTTGCAGCTTGTTGTGTCACACGCCTTCGACGGAAGGAAATGACGGGAAGTGGTGGGGACGCGGGCGTGAATTTAGCATCTCTTCTAACTGGCGCCTACACCCCCCCTGCAACCGCTCCAAACATTTCAGCACCTTTTTCTCTGTTCTGATTTTTCCTCTACTTTTTAAATTCTTTCTTCATTCTTTATAATTCTTTATCAGATATTTTCCACTTTATCATCCATTTTTTGTATTCTTTCATGTAGTTTGGTTATTGACTCCTGTATTGATTGGAACATTGCTTTTGTTTCCACCTGTATTGCATTTATTTCCTGCACCAGAAAAGTATCAAGGATCTCTGGCTTTCTGGACTTGGGGCAGCAGATGGTGTTGCTTAGGAGGGAGTCGAAGTAGTTTTCTTCATCTTTCAATATTAACACATAGAATAGACAATAACTTCACAACACACTCCCAAATATTCCACTATTGCCCCCCAGTTGTCACCCAACCGTAATATGCTTTATGTAACACTCTCACTACTAGATTCCTCTATCTTATTACCACTTCTGTCCAAATATTCTATATCAGTTCAAGAATACTTTTAAGTATAGTTTTTCA